TAACACAGTAAATTGTTGTGAAAAGTGTAGTTTGGAATGAAGTAAGAGTCAGGGAAAGCCATAGATTCTGAAGAGTGGGCATTTAGTAAAGCATAAGTAAAATCATGTACATGCTTAAAGTTTGTCCCAATGGTTTCAATACCATTTATTTGGTATTATTATTATTTATTAAATACACAGTAGAATGCTGTGCCAAAATTTTGAAATCTGTATTCTAGGAAATATGAACAATTCCAGTCTTCCATCTTCATCCTGTTATTCCTTCATCTTACACTATACAAGGAGAAGGAACAATCAAAATCACATGTATTTAAAGCTTGTTAATTATTACAGAAGGAAATTTTCCTGCTTCAGTTCTTGCTTCAGTTCATCACATTATTATTACTCACTAGCTATACATTTCTTATTAATGTTTACTTATTTGCTAATGTGAGAAAAAAGGCTATAATGCCCATCTATGATGCTGGTCCATTTACTGCAGATTCAACCCAAAAGAATTCTAACTTGCCTAGAGACTATTTTGTTCTGAGCCCTTTTGTTGTTGTTGTTGTTGTTGTTGTTTTTATTTAACTGATAAATTTGAGGAAAATAATTGTCATATCACTGAAAAGTATAGAAAGGCATTGAAGTTATGACTGATATAGCAGGTTTTCCCATCACATTTTCATGTATACCATTACACCTTGTATGTGGGAATCCTTTCCTTATATACAGTAGAATATGTCACTTATGGCTACAGCCCATTCCTCCTATCCACTTACCTATTAAACTGATACTCTTCCTTTCACTCATATTCAAAAATAGAAGAGGATCATATTTTAAATGTGTTTGGAAAGGCAGCAGTTTTGCACCCATGTCAAATCAGTGTAAACACCATGTATGGCTAGGTCCCACTTCCTTTGCTTGTGCAGTGTTTTCTGTGTATGGCGTATGTCTCCCCAAATCTGTTTGTTATCTTGATATTGCTCCAGAGGGTTATTTGATTTAAATAGAAATTAGATGGATTTTTCTACCTTGTGGTTTATTATTATCCAGACACCGTCTACTTCTGCCAGATTTATACATTTTTATGCTATCACAAGAGATGTTTAGGTTTCACAAACATAAACATTACTTTTCACTGATTATTACATCAGCAATTTCTGCTATATAACGCTGAATTTGTATGTTGTGCTGTCATTCAGATTTTAAGAAAAATAGCAAAGAGATGACTTGGGTAAGAAGCATATTTTTTCCCATTATCTAAGAAGGGAAGGCTTTCATGCAGAGTGTTCCTGTTTGAAAGCCACTGGTAAAGATAATACCTGCTGTGAATGTCAAAGGGTTTCCCACTCCCTCCCCTTAAGAGATCATTAAAAAAAAAAAAGATGTAGTTCTCTCAAAACATAACTCCAGCTGTGAGGGCAAATGTGGGCTTAGATAAAAGGAAATAAGAGCATGTCAACCAAACAATGAGTCCTAGAGTAATTTCTGTGTGTTTAAATAGCTGGTAAAATGATTTTAGTATCTAAAATAACAATCTGGGCTACTGTACAATATGTCTTCCTAGAGCAAAGACAATGGAACATCTCCTATCACCTCAGACAGAGGGAATCCATACATTTTGCTGTGACTGAGCAAGTTTCAGTTTTCAGATTGGTTTCACAAAGCAAACACCAGGAAAAAAATGTTGCACCTTAAACAAGACTACCATAGATGGGGTATGTCAGCATGTCAGCAAAGATGGCAGCAAAACCTAAGTTTTCCTGCCATCTACTGGTCTTTAGGATTTCTGTAGCCTAAATGTGTAGCTCTACCTTAAGGGCTTAAATTTTTGTGGATTATAATCCAACTATTACAATAGTTACATTGAGAGTTGTACAAGTGAAAGATGAGGAATCAAGTATCAAGCATACATATACTGTATACCTATTCATCTTTTCAATAATTACATTTCTATTTCTAACAGGAATAAATAAATGTATGTGTAGCTCAGAGTTGGCATATTGTTCAAATTATCTAAATTAGGTTACAAATGTGTTATCAACATGCTATCTAACAACATTAGTACTGGAGATGTGGGAACTCAGGTTCCTTGGTTAGCAAGGGTTGTATGTATCTTTCTATTACATATCCATGCTTGGAAGAGGGAGTTCTTTGGGTGTTAATTTGCATATGAATTAAGTCTTTGGTTGTATTTTTTGACAGGTTTTATACTGATATTTATTTATTTACTTATTTATTTAAATACTTTATATAGCCACCCAACTCTGTGACTCTGTCCAAATTAGTAATAATCATTAATATGCATCTCAACTCACATTCCTATATTCAAACTGCTCCGGTGTTGGGTAAAGAACCATATTTTTAAAGCCTTTCTAAAGGCCAGCACAATTAAAGTCATCCAAACCACTTACGTGTTCATTGGTTGGAAACTCACATACTTTTAAATAATTATGTAGCAATTTTCATGTTTTCTAAAATTTGTACTATTTCCTGGTTGTCTGAGGTTGTTGAAAGGTTAGCGATGTTGGCATCATGTCTTTTGACAGATTTGTCTTCAGTTTTGCTGTGTTCTTCCACTGAAAAGATCCAAATCTCTCTAATCAAATGACTTCTTTTTCAAACATTCAGAACAAAAGGAAGGCAGAATTAAAAGCAGATTTAAACACTAACTCTCAGTTTTCAGGGTTTTATTTAACAACAAAGAGTAGCAATTAAAACAGTTCAAGGATAAGAGGGATTTAAGCTGCTGTGTTCACAGCTGTACTAATGTGCAGTTCTATTATTTCCTGCTATCACCTAAGGCTGATGGATGAGCTGGTGCCAATTGTTGGAAGAGGAGTCTGTAAGAACTGGATGGATTTTTCTCCTTTTATCACAGCCTGATAAAGTGGCTGTTCTTGAGGCATTTCTTTGGTAACAATAACAGCAGGCTGACTATCTACATATTTAGATTCCCTTTGCCTGCTAGACTGCTTTTCTTTTATGACTATTGATCCATGCTGGCTCAGGAATTCTGGGAGTTGAAGTCCACAAGTCATAAAAGAGCCAGGGTTCCCCACCCCTGGTCTAGGTTTAAGAATCTACCCTGAGAAAGATACTCCTTCTGAGATAGCTTCTGAGATCTGCAAGTGGGCATCACACAACGCCCAGAGGCTACTATACGAGGACAAATTATGCATTGAAAAGATTGCTTGGAGGGGGGAGATACTAACAAACCAAATCTCCTTCATGGATTGCCCTTGTAACTATGTAGGATAGATGGGGAGGAAGCTAACCACCAGATTACAAGAACACAAGTGAGCGTTTGGACAAGTAGACCCAAATTCATTAGTAGCCTCACACTACAGTGAAGAAGGACATACATTCAATTTTGCAGCTACTAAGATTGTTAGACAAGCAGGCACAAAAACAGCCAGGGAAGTGATTGAAACCTGGGCAAGTAGCCCTCATCATTCAACAGGAGTGCTGGTTTACCACCAGCTTATCAAATACTTAGAAGGCAAAGTCTGGGCAGCACAAGCAAACGACTTAATAGCTAGCTATCAACACGCCCAAATCAACATCTAAAAAGCTACATACAAAAGGCACCACATAAATACCACACACAGACCAGCACACGCTCTTCTAGATAGAAGTTCCCTGATGATGGGCTCCACCAGGAGTTGAAAGCTCGGAAAACAAAACCTCTGATCCCGGGGACCAACCCAGATTGGATCCTACAAGATACTCTTAGTTAATTAATATTGTAATTATGGAAATTTATTCCCCATCCTTCCAGACAGGATTAGATGGGTAGAAGGAATAGGGAGAGGACAGTCCTTCAGGTAACCTAGTCTCAAACCATGAAGGGTTTTAGAGATGATAACCAGCACCTTGAATTGCACCCAGAAATACAGTGACAACCAATCAAGGCAGTGGGGTTAAATGTGGTGAATAACCAAACACAATTTACTACCTGTGCAGTTGGATTCTGTACCAGCTGAAGGTTCCAAATGTTCTTCAAGGGCAGCCCCATGTAGACACATTGCAGTAATCCAGGTAGGAGATCATGAGGGCATGAGTGACAGTGAACAGAGAATCCCAGCCTAGGAATGTGTGGAGAATAATGACCGAAAAAATGCTATAAGTTATGGAAGCTCTTATAACAAAAGATGATTCCCAAAACATCAGCCAGTTCCCAGAAATGAGGCAATGGCACTCCAGTGGATAAGTACCACAATAAAAGTCTCAAGGTAAGAGTGACCAAGGTTTTTTTTTTTTTTTCAAATGTACAGTATATTATTAAGATGTATGGCAGTTCTCTGGAGCCATCATGTAGAATAAGGAACTGTGCATGATGAATATCTCACTTCATGTTTTTCTAGAACTCAAACTTAATCTGGCCATTTGAACTTTGAGTTGAGTAAGTAGGTGTGAGGGCACAAATATTAGCTTTTGATTCAGAAAGTAAACTATAAACTTATATTTGATTCTATGTATCTAAATCACTGGGTAAAAAGAACAAGTAACTGTTTGCTTTACAACTCTTGGTCCGAGAACTGATCCTGCATTGGGATGTCTATATATTCAGAATGTCCTTGGTGTCATCTGGGCAGTAACTGTGAGGATGGGTCTGATCCTGGGAACTGGATCACATACAAGCTGTCACTTGAAGTGGACTGTTCGTAATCCTCAAGACTTGAGCCTCTAAACCCATTAACCAAAAAGAGGTCCAAATAATTATCCAGGAATGGCAATCAGCACCTGCTCAGCATGGTAGGAAAGAACTTTCTGGGTCCATGCTGCTCTCCACAACATTTTGACATATTTTTTAATTTAAATTTAAGCTATTTTTAGTCAGGTGGCTGGGCATTGATATAGATATTTTTTGATGATGATTGATGACGATATATATGTATATACAAAACCCAAGTAAATTTTTCTAACACACCAGCAGAAGCAAACTCCTTTTTATTCCTGTTGTCACAATGCCAAAGACCACTTGTTTAGAGTACTTTAAAAAAAACCCAGGATATCAAATGATGTAGTGATAACTGACAAAGCAGTTGTATTAGACTGGCATGGAGGGAGAATGGGGAAAAATCCGTTGTAGGCTTCACCGTGATCTACCTGACGATACAACACCGGTCCATCGCAATGTCCTACAGTCCCGGATTTAAAATTAGCTAATTGTTCTCAGATCAAGAAGGTTCTGCCATGCGAAGCAACCTCCCGGTTCCATGTGGATCGCATAACGTCGGGATTGCAAATGAAAGATGAGCGTGAGAGGACTGGGATCGCCGCATCCACCCTTTGGGGCGGGATGTCCTTGCCGGTGCAAAAAAGCAGCAACGCCTCTTTTAATTTGGTTAGCAAGCCTCTCCTCCAGGCTTCACTTTTGCTACCACGTGCGAGAGCGACTGGAACTGGTGTCCAGCGCGACGGAGCTTCCCTTCCCCTCGCTTCGCTCGTAGGTTCCCCAGCCTAGGGCTGGCGCTTTGCCAAGCAACGGGCTTTTCCGCGCGACTCTTGCAATGAAAAACCAAAGCAGGCTGGACTAACGAGCAGCGCCGGAGAGCAACCGCGCACGCCTCTCTGCAGCTCCTGTGCCTGCAGAGGGTTGGCGGGCGAGAGCCTGGCCAATCCCGAGCCTTGCCATTCCGAGCGCTGACATTTCTGCGAGCGTATTTAAACTTTCAAAGAAAGCGATTTGGCTTCTGGTTTACGTCGGGGCCACGGTCGCCGTTTCCTCGCGGAGAAAGTTTTGGCGATCTGCGGAAGAGCGCTCTCGTAGCGGTGAAGCGGCAAATGGGCATTTAAAGGGGCCCTTGGATTAAGCCGGCGGGGCGGGAAAGAAGTGCCGCGGCTGAGGCAGGATTTGCTGTGCGCGGCGTCTGAAGCAGTCGGCAAGCTGGACTCGGATGGGAGGATGGAAATGAAGAGCATGGATCATTATCTACGCCGTCTGAAACAAGAGTTGGTAAGGCATTAATGGGGAAATAAGGGAAGATGATTCTGATTAAACGTTGCAAATTTAACGCGCGTAATCCTCTTTGTAACTTTCTAGGCACTTTTTGGCAAGAGATTAATAGCAATAACCACGCCAATACCGTGGGGATAAAAACGCTGGTTTCATTATTGTTATATCGATCCAGCATTAGTTGGCTGATGCTATAACCGCCCACGCCCCAACAAATACACACCCCTTTCATTAAAATGCATATTTTCCAGGCTTTATTGGAAAAATATCCCACTAGCCTTTATCTCAGGTGTGCAAAGAGGGATGCATCGTCAACCCCATTAATGATTTTCGCACTCTGTTCGCACTTTTGGAATTTTCCTCTGACATGAAAACTGAATCCAGTTGCCTCTGATAGGTATTTGGTGAACCGTATTCGGGGAGAGGAGCAGCAATGCATAAGCGATTGAGACATTCTACAAAAAGCCAGAATCCTAAACTTTTCTGCTCAGAATTTTTCACAATCCCCACCTCTTGCCTATTGTTGCCAAGGAAGAGCTTCTGCTAGTAAATTTGGGGAGACTAGCAAATTTGGGGATCCAGTCCAATCAGTTGTAAACTGGAAAGTATCTAACTAGAATGAGTAATTGACTTCATAATGTATCCTGTTGCTGAGTACTTTGGCTTATTATTCTATGTTTAACAAGCAATTTTACTTGGAGCAAAACAAAAACACTGAATCAGCACTCTAAATAATCTTGCTCTGCTTCTTTCTTCCTGATATGGATGCATTATGAAGGTTTACAAAACACCATCTTTAAATTTGTACATCAAATGCAAATTTGAGTATTGCGTTTTGCTTGCCAGAGCCCAGACATGCCACTTGTACTTTGCAGATATTTTGGGAGAAGATATTTTATATAATTATAGGGGTTCCTTCAAATCTTCTGTGGACATTTCTGAAATACATATTCCAGTTGGTGTTTTCTTATTATTAGCTGTCTCTGGTAAGTTTCCTTGTTTTGTTTCATATTGCATAGGTTTCCATTGTGTCATTTTTATGCAAAGGAGCTGCCTAGGTCTGCTTAAATACCCAGTTGATTTGTATCCTCAACATATTTAGAAAGTGCTTCTACACATTGCACTTTTGAAAAATGTAAATTTAATTACCCCACAGCCCAGCTATCTGAGTTGGTTTTATTATCATATTTTATAAATGAAAAAACTGAATTGTCACAATAAATTGGATATTGTGATTTCCTAAGATGTGCAGTGAGCTGCATTTCCATTTCATAGCTGAAGTCCTCTTAACAGACTTGAAAATAGTTATGTAGAGCTGTATTGAATTAATTCAACTGCATTGAATTAATGCAGCTATACATTATAATTAAAGGACTCTGGCATTCTAGCAGATTTCCACACAAGGAAGATGCATACATGATGAGTTATTTGCAAAGAGGTTTGCTTGAAAATCATCACTGTATCCTGCATTTTGGCTTCCCCACAATCAGTTTTTAACTTCTTATCTGACTTGTCCTTGCCTGTTTCACCCATATATTTTTAGGCAGATTTACCTTTCTGGAGGGAAGCCAGTCAGCTTTTTTCTTCCACCCAGACTTTTCTCTTAAGGGCTTGCCTACCTTGCTTTGCAAATTTTTTTACGTCTTCATCTGAAGTACAATCATAGTGCTGCTTCTATAACACCTGATGTGGATGCTGTTTTGTAGTCCTTTTTTCTTAGCCTTTTCACCACACCCTATGAGGCAGATCACCTCTGCATTATTACAGAAAACCTTGTCTGATACTTTAGTGATGTCTTGGACATCAACCCCATAACTTGTCAAGCAGCTTAATTGGGAGCAAGTGGGCTTGAAGATTAGTTCCCCCTGGAGAACACCAGTTTGGGGAAGGCCACTGTGCAGATTGATATTTGTATACCAGTAGTATACCTAGATTGATATCTGTATATCAGTGAAGTGAAGCACCTTTGTTTGTTTGTTTATAACGTTTCTATAGCCATCCATCTTATAACTAAGCCTGGGTGGTTCCCAAGCCAAATAGTCCAAATTGTAAATTGACTTTACTCAACTGCATTGCATGAGCTCCAGTTGTTGCTTCCATTGCAATGGCAACAAGAATTCCTTTAGGAAGACTCCAGCAGATATGGTGCTTTGTTCTGCCTGTTGAGGATCTGCCCTTTCTCCCTGCCGCTGCTCACACAGAAGCCTTGCTTGCTGTGACAGGCTTAAGCTTGCCCACCAGCAGATGCTTCCTTCTGGTGTCCTAGTTTTTGTACTAATGGATTAGTAATGAAGATTCAGGATGCTCTTAAATAAAGTATGTGCAAGTCCAAAAAAAGAGGATACCGAACAAGAAAAGACATGGGAGGTATATGTCTCAAATGAATAAATAATAGAACTGCAGATTTCGGTTCTTGTTCTTTCTTTTTTTTTTTAAAAGAAAAGGTCATGTAGGAGTCATTATGAGAGGAAGAGCTTTACAATTCAAAAGGCTGCTTTCCATCCAAAAGATTACTATCACCACAGAGCAAACTCCAAACGGGCTAGATGAAACTAGAATTCAAAATGGATTTTAGTGCTTTAAGACTATAATCTGCTACAGATTTAATCATATTGCACACTATAAAAGTTATTTCATTCAGAGCAGTGATTCTGTAAGTGTGTTTCTCTCATTCACTGCTTTTGTGCAAGGGTGGAAAACAATTACAGGCCCATTCATCACCCATTCTGATGTATGCCAATTACAGAATGGAAATTGCAATAATGGGCTGTTATCAATTTCCAAAAGGAAACAAATAGATTCAGCATAACTGAAGTAGCCAGTGCAAACAAAACACAATGCTACCTAGGAGAAGTGCAAAAGCCCAACTATAATGTTTATTTGTTTGCTTGTATCCCATCTTTATTACTTTACAAATAGCTCAAGGCAGCTGGAATTACCAAATATTAGCAGGATATTTCTTATCCTTATGTGTGTGTGCTTACCCAGGAAAGGAAGGGAGAAATGCAAAATGAGGGAGTAGAAATGAGGGTATAAAAATTGACCCACTACTGTGTTAGTAGAAACTTCTTTACAGCCATTAGTTGCTATAGGTCTACTGGAATTGTCCCATGTCTCTCATGCAGAGACAGATAATGACTTATATCAATTCTTGGCACACTCCTTCTACATATTTATGCATATAAAACATGACCATCATATCTTCATTCCATTTTTTTCCAGCAGTGTAGCCAACAATAATTTGCTGTAACTGTCACTATTTCCCAGGCATTCTCTTGGCATGATTTTATTCTTTGTAGACTTCTCACAACTACCATTTTATAAACACAATTTGCACCAAGGAAAAGAAGGCACCCTATACCCACATGGCTCCCTGAACAGGTTGACCTCAGAATGTCAAGTAGGGGAGCCAGGAAGTATCCAAACTGGGTATGATACTCATAAGCATCATCCAGTATTGCCTCATTCCACATACCATATATGCCGGCGTATAAGACGACTTCCAGAAGCGCTAAACTCGGCGCCAAAGATGGGGGTCGTCTTATACGCTGAGTCGTCTTATACGCCGGAAATACTGGTAGTTTTCGGTGTATAAGACAACGTTCTAGGAAGGCGACTCGGCGATAAAGACGGGGGTCGTCTTATACGCCAGGTCGCCTAATACACCGGCATATACGGTATTTGGGAAGTTTGAGTATACACACATTCACACACACACATTCAGAAAGGATTATGATCCTGTTCACCTGATGTGTTAGCAGACAGTAGTTTTGTGGAAATGTAGATAGAAGCTATTCTTACAATGTTAGAACACTAGGACTTCTACTGAACTAAATCCAGGGAGATTTGGAACCAAAGAAGCACTTCTTTACACAATGAATAAACTAGAATTCACCCCATCACAAGTAGAGATGCACACCAGTTGAGGTATTTGTGAAAGAACAGTTTTATAGAGGACTGGGTCCATGAGCCTTGATTGCTGATTACCTAAAGAATTACAAGTAGCATGCTTACAATATTCTCTGTTGAGGAAAAGAGCTATTGCATTTAATGTAAAAATGTTGGGCTAAAAGAAGTGTTGGTTTGACCTAACAGGGCTCTCCTTATTTTCTTAAGAGAAAGAATATTTACCCTGTAGGCACCACAGAAGCTAATCATTTGGCCTCATCAACAGACAAGAATTTGATACATCAGCTTCCCAATACTGTATTATAAATGCAGGAAGAATTCAGCCAAGAACTCATATATCTTATTAGGGCACTGAGTTCATCTGACAATAGAAAAGGTGGGAAGATTTTCTTCACATAGCTAGGCACATCTGAGTTAATCAGGTGAAGCAATCAACCTGTTCCATGTTCAGGAAACCAGGCCCTTTCTCTCCCTTCACAACAATAAGATCAATGACCCACTAGTTTACCTAACCTAGTCCTATTGGATAATGAGATTCTTGTTCAATTGTCTTATTCATTATTATTGGCATTTTGTAATATTGAGTACTAAACAAGATAGAAAGGCCTATTGTTTTCAGGCCTGCTTCCTGCAGAATCCTCTTTGGAGTCAGATACACTGATTAGGCAGAGTAAGCAGAATTAGCTTTAGAGAAGTAGCTGATCTAAGGTGCCAAAGCTTAGGGGCCGCCAAGTCCATCCCTCCCTCTAAATTAATCTAAAAATGCAAATCTTTGTATTGGTGGGAGATGACACCATCAGTCAATGTGGCCTGGGATGCCAAATACTCTGGAATCAGCACTGAGAGAAAGGGAATTAAATTCCAACTTATCAGGGCAATGGAAGAAAGTCCTGATCAGGAATCACATGGCGAGAGATGGATACAGACTAAAATAGTAAAAGATATGATACAGGTGTGTTAATTGTTTCTGTTGCTTGTGTACATTTTAGCTTTTCCATGAGAATTTTATTATCTATCTCGAGTTTTCTGTTAGCACATTTTTAATGTAGAAAATGTACTATAGCGGAGACGGTATGGTTGGTGATAGTGGC